TTCCGTTTTCTCCGATTGCTAGTTTTTACTGGTATCTAGATGGGTGTTACTTCGTGGTGTCGGTGACGAAATGTATACAGACTGTCTATGGCCCTGCCCTAATTGCTACGAAATTACCAAGACGTTAGAAAGAGAAATACCAAAAAAATAGGCCAATTAAAAACAAAACATGTTTAGCATCCTGCCTTTTAAATAAATGGAAGGAGGAGGCCCTTTTTTCAAGTTTCCCTCCATAATGGCCGCCCGACCAGGCTATTTTTCAAGATGGCCGCCAGCTTTTTTTTTTTAAATGGCCGCCACTTAGACTCAGGAAATGACATACCAGCTTTATATGGGCTAGATGCAACAGACAAAGAGGCCAAAATGTCCTTTCACTGCGTATCAATATCCAGCCTTGTCACTGTGAAATATTATGGTCTTCGTTTAAGTCGCCATTTTGTACCGGGTTATACATCGGGCCAACGCCCATCCTTTTGTGTTGTTTTGAATATGTAAGGAATGTCTAGCTCCCATCGTTCTAACACAGTTCGCTTACGTAACTTGTCCATTGCTTCAATGAATTGTCGTGGCCTAGCCGACCACTCCAAAAGGAGAGATGTCTTGCATTTTTTGAGGTCTAAGCAGTATTCCATCTATTGTATGCAAGACATCCATTGATCAGACTCCATGCAAGACAGGTTTAGGGCTGAGTGGGGGCTGGACTGTTACTTCTCTTCTTATAAAAGTAATGCCAGAGGCGTGGCTATTCTTTTTAACAATACGTTCGATTTTAAAATTCTTGGTTCCAATATTGATGTAAATGGCAATTTTTTGGCTCTTAGTCTTAGTTTGGAAACACATAATCATAATATTACGTTGATTAATTTATATGGTCCAAACAGGGATGATCCAGATTTCTACGAGAATATCAATAATATTATTTCTGAGTTTGATAACCCTCACACAATTATTTGTGGCGACTGGAATTTAGTTTTAGACGGTAATTTAGACTGTGATAATTATCTTCATGTCAACAATCCTTTAGCAAGAAACAGGGTGTTGGGTCTATGTAGGGACCTCGACCTTATTGACCCGTGGCGTATTCAAAACCCAAACTGCAGGAGATATACTTGGAGACAGCATTCTACACTGAAACAGTCTAGGCTGGATTTCTTTTAAATATCTTCTGAACTTAGTTCCAATTTTGTTTCATCTGAAATTGAGCCAGGTTATCGGACAGACCATTCCTTGGCAGTTGATGTTTGTTTCGATTTCAATCAGATCGAGAGGGGACCGGGTTATTGGAAATTTAAAAAATTCGCTTCTTGCAGATAAAACTTATGTTGACCAGGTGGAAAAAATTATTACTGATGTTGTAGAAACTTACGCAGCTTTGCCTTATTTACGCTCGAATTTACACACCATTCACCCCAGAGATATTCATTTTATTATTAATGATCAACTTTTTTTGAAATGCTATTAATGGCGATTAGAACTAAAACAATTTCTTTTGCAGCCTGGAAGAAAAAGAGTGCTTGCAGAGATGAATCTCGTCTCGAAAACGAAATTAAAGATTTGTCTAATAAGGTTGCTCAAGGTGATGATACTCTGTTGGGTACATTGAAGTCTAAACAAACTAGCCTTGTTAATCTTCGTAAGACTAAATTGGATGGTGTAATGATTAGATCTAGAACAAGGTGGATGGAACACGGTGAAAAACCATCCAAATCCTTCCTTAATATGGAGAAACGTAATTGTATTAACAAGACTTTTAATCGTGTTATTAATGATGATGGTACCGAATTAAAATCCTCTAGGGATATTATACACGAGGCACGTTATTTTTATAAAAAACTTTACTCGTCTTCAGAAGGGGAAACAACAGTTAATTTACAATCTATTTTTGAGAATTCTGACTCTCCAGTTCTTTCAAATATGGTACGTGATAGCATAGAGGGCCCCCTGTCCCATCGAGAAATATTAAATGTTTTGAAGAACACAAAAAATGGCAAGTCCCCTGGCTCAGATGGTTTTAGTTTTGAATTTTATAAGTTTTTTTTTCAACGATTTATCGTGGTATTTATTACGGTTCCTCAATTTTGGTTATGAAACCGGTGAACTTTCTATTACTCAGCAGTACGGTATTATTACTTTGTTGCCTAAAGGGGATAAACCTCGTCAATTTTTAAAGAACTGGAGACCGATCTCACTATTAAACACTTCGTACAAATTAGCTTCTGGATGTATAGCAGAGAGACTTAAAACATGCCTCTTCTCTCTTATTCATGAAAATCAAAAGGGTTTCTTGCAAGGGCGTTATATTGGTGAGAATATTCGTTTAATGTATGATTTGCTTAATTATACAGAAAAACATAAGATTCCTGGTATGTTTTTATTGATTGACTTTGAGAAAGCTTTTGATTCTGTTTCGCATGATTTTGTACTCAAAATTTTGAACCAGTTTAATTTTGGTCCTTCTATACAGAAATGGTTTCGGGTTTTTTACAGTGGAGCGACAGCTTCGGTGTTAGTAAATGGATTCTTATCGGAATCTTTTAAAATAGGGCGTGGCTGTCGACAAGGTGATGGTTTGAGCCCTTATTTGTTTCTTTTGTGCGCCGAAATTATGGGCATGATGGTTCGTTGTGATAAGATTTTAAGGGGAATTCAGGTAGATGGCAGAGAATATAGACTTTCTCAATATGCTGATGATACAGTATTATTTTTAGACGGTTCAGAGCGTTCTTTTGATAGAGCCTTCTAGATTTTGGGCGATTTTGCTAGCAAGTCTGGTCTTAAAGTAAATATTGAAAAAACCAATGCGGTGTGGATTGGTGGTAATAAGGGTCGACAGAAAGGTCTATGTGATCATATTAATGTGAAGTGGGTTGGTCCTCAAGATTATTTTAGGGCACTTGGTATTGATTTTTCCACCAACCTTGATAATATGACAACGGTGAATTATAACAGAGTTTTTGATTCTACTTGTAGATTAATTGACCAGTGGTCTAGAAGAAATTTAACCGTTCTTGGCCGTGTTACCATAGTGAAGTCGCTTATTTTATCCAAATTTACTTTCCTTATTTTGTCACTCCCTGACCCACCTTTGTATTTAATTAAGAATCTAAATGTTATGTTGTATAAATTTATCTGGAAAGGTGGCGATAGAGTTGCCAGGAATCAGATGATTCAGAATTATGGTCATGGGGGAGTTAAGATGATTGATTTGCGATCCTACATCAGTGCTCTTAAGTGTACTTGGATCCGTAGATTATTGAACACTAAGGCCTCAGCTTGGCCCAATCTGTTTTATAAGATTACTGAAATTGAGAATGTGCTTTTTGTGGAAGGCGGTCATTCTAGTATTGCACATTCACTTAAGAGGACAGCTCACCCTAACCAGTTTTGGATTGACGTTCTCAATGCTTGGAGTTCTTTTGTGCAATGCCATGTGCCAGTTAATTAGAATGATCCTCTTAGCAATGTTTTGTGGAAGAACCACAGAATTACGATTGGAAACAATTGCATTTTTTACAAACACTGGGCAAACAAAGGGGCAAACTTTGTGTCTGACCTACTTGACAATAAAGGTGCTTTTTTGAGCCTGGAACGCTTTATGTTAAAATTCAGTATTAGGACTAACTTTCTAGAGTATGGTGGAGTTGTCAAGGTCGTCAAAAATTCTTTTCGTGATTTACTTAAAGGGGTTAAGTCAAATATTTGCTTTCCTTTTATCCCATTTAATTTTGAGATACTTTTGTCAGATAAAAAGGTTCTACCCGTATTTATCATATTTTTACTTCAGGGTTTTAAAAAAGGTTGTGAGTAAGTTCATTGACAAATGGGAAACAAAATTGAGTATCAATTTCCCTGCCACTAAATGGTCGGTTTTCTGCAGTATGCCTTTTACGATTACTTGTGATACAAAATTACGATGGGTTCAATACAGATTGGTCCATAGAATCCTGGGCGTCAATTCTTATTTGGTAAAGATCGGTAAAGGGGAGAACGACTTGTGTTCCTTCTGTCATGTAGAAAAGGAAACTCTGATTCACTTATTTTGCACTTGTAAGATTACTTTATCGTTCTGGACTCAAATTAGTGATTGGATTAAGGAGACTTTGAATATTAATGTGTTTGTAGATTACGAGATGATTTTATTTGGCATACTTAACAAACACTGGAGCGCCCTTAATTTATGTCTTCTCCTATGCCGTTACCACATTTACAAAATGAAGATGAATGGTAGTAAACCGTTTCTTTTAGAGGCCAAAATGATGTCACTGTTTAAAATTGATCAGTTTTTCGGTTTAAAAAAAAAAGAAAAAAAAAAGGAGGTGGCTTCCAAAACGCAGCGGGCGGGGACGCTAACATGTTTATTTTTTTTATTTGGCCTTATGGAAGGACGGGCGCTACACAAGTATGCAATTATCGCTCTTAATCACTGACTTCTTGCGCCAAGACGAGGATGATAGTGGCAATAGACCTTTCTACGCTTGGTTGGCAAACTGCACATTTTGCCAACCGCGGGTTGCAAAACTATGGAAGGTCCAACACTGCAAACATGAAGAAGAGTTAAAACAGATAACCAAAATATTATTTGGTTATTGGAAATACAACACAAAGCTGAACATAATTCCTAAACATGCCTTTTTAATATGTATTGAGGGCCAGGCGTTATAGGGACTTTTCTTGGAAAAATATGTTGTCAACCACGGCTTCAATTTATGCGCTTGCGGCAGCCCATATAGAATAGCGACAATGTTTACAAACAAAAGAAAAGTTCGTCTGTGGGTTCGTCTGTAGATAGCGCCCTCTAACAGTGATGGTTCGCGGAATAAACAACAGGCGCCCTTTTACAGCGATGGTTCGCGAAATAAACAACAGGAAGGTCTTGTAACCAAAAAGTAGGAAAAAGTAGGACTATTTGAAAGTCTGCGGGAGGTATACTCATGCTTATTCCAGTGGAAAAGCGTGTACCTCAAAGATGGTTGCAATGCTAAGGATCTATTCAAACCTACATGTCCGTTACCGCCACCGGTAGCAAGGTATTCACCGTCAGGTGAGAACTTGATCGCCTTCACGCCTCTGCGAGGATATTTCTGCAGAGAGGAAAGGGTGAGGGATAAATATAAGAGACTTTGTAAAAACAAAATCCCCTCCGTTTTCCTTACACGTTTTCCCACACATTTAAAGCTTTTTTTCATTCAAATTCATAAACGGTTAACTTCAATTTCGTCTCGAGAAGACTAGAGCTCGGAAATGCTTCAATGAATTTAGTCATTGGCCATATCAGACGTTCGACCTGCGATCGACTCCGTTGAGAACGGGTGATATTTTGTTTCAGAAATCGGCTCCGTTGAGAACGGGTGATATTTTGTTTCACAAACTATTTTAATAAATGGTATAGGGAGGTCTGATACAAACGAGAAATAAAGAAAACCAAGCCAAGTAAAACCCAGGCTTTTAAATTTGCACTCCATTTCAAATACTAAAAGAACCCCGGGGACTACGAATATTTATGTGATAGGTACCTACAACGGAATAAGCAACAGAATGAATGTAAGTGGTGTCATTATGACGTCATCACATTTCATGTGAAGTCACATTACAGGTGCATTTTTCTAAGGCCTTTATCTAAAAAACTATAAGTCCAATTTAGTTGTGACTTCATAATGTATACGTATACCGTACCGGGATGTGCTATTATGCATGAAATTTAAGTGACGTTACGATGACGTCATCGCAAGTCAGGTGACGTCTCATTAAAGGGGTATAGTCTTAGGTGACGTGACATTAAAGGGGGTATATTCTAAGGCCGCTATATCTATAATTTATAGCCTCCGATTAGATTGTAACTTGGTATGTACCTAGACCAGTATGTGTTATAAATGAACACTGAAGTGAAGTCACCACGTCACAAAGCTAAAACAGCTGGTGTTTATCAGCAAGCACATGTCCAGTGTCTATTGGTTTTCGTTATTGTAGAAAAATGCTTTGAGGAATTTGATTTATATTGCGCTATTAATGCTGAATTATTATTGTATTTATTGTTATTATTGCAATTAAACTTGTGTGAGGGCGACAGGGTTTGCTTATTATTGCTATAAGGCCGACACACCTTATTGGGTTCACAATTTGGCGTCGTCCTATTGTTAACACTTTACGCAAATAAAGGCTAAATCGATTGCTCGTGGTCCAAGCCAAATATATCGTCGCAGAGCTCACAAACCGACGAATAAGCAAAAACCCTGTTTCGAGTAATTCGCGTTTGAAGTTGGACATTTTTCTGGGCGTTGTATTTTACCCTTAATGTTTCGATAATAACCCTTTTAGTGTATATTCGAAATAAAATAGGAAACGTAGTATCCATCAGGTCACTTATTAAATCAGAAAAGTTGTGCGATATGATTTTATTTGACCGTAAACGTATTCGTCAGTTTGTCAAATTACAAATTAGCCGGTTGATCTTCACACTGTTTGTATGCTATTCGTCAGTTTGTCGGATCGCGCGCGCACACGCGCGCAATCCGACAAACTGACGAATAACATTCGTTGGTGCTTTGAACGCACATCTTACATGAGCTGGTTACCAGCGAAATGTTTGTATGCCATTCGCCAGTTTGTCGGATCACGCGCGCACGGCGCGCCAATCCGACAAACTGACGAATAACATTCGTTGGTACCTTGAACGCACACCTTATATAAGCTGGTCACCAGCGAAATTCCGTATTCGTCACTATGTCAAATTATGGATTTGTTTTTGTGACTAATTCGCCACAGGGGGGCTCCGAATCTCAAAATCCAGACAAGAATTCAGAATTTTGGCATAAATACTTGAAAGAGCAACTTTATAAACCCTAAAAATGACAAAACCTCGAAATCGCCAAAATAGTCGATTCGCCGGTATGTCAGCTCTGCGACGATATACCAAAATTCGTGGAGTAAGGATAAGGTAAAATTGGGTAAGGTTATATTTTATGTTTGTGCACAAGTCATAGGATGTCGCCCATTGTAGCATTCACTGAGATTAGAAGACGCACATAATTATCCCAAACTGGCCAAAACCTTTCCATTCTTGGTCACCGTCAAATGCTTTGAGTTTCCCCTGGTATTTCTTGCTTTCCCCATATTCCCCGAGTTTTCTCTGACTGAAAAGATGAAAACTCATTGCCGAGGTTCTCCTTGATTTTCAGAGTGAAAAAGATGGATGTTGAAATTGTTTTCTCTTCAAAAATGTTAAAAATGGATATGTCTTGAGTATTATTATTCCATTCATCTGTCCGTTTAGAGTGTGTTTCCATCTCTGATTGTGTAAGTCTTTTCTAAGTATTTTTGTCGTGGTCATGTACGTCTCTTTATCGTGGTCGTCACGCTGTTTGCTTTGATTGATGTGCTGTGTCCGTCCGTTTTAACCTGCCTGTTTTTGACAATTAACTCATGTAAACCTAGTTATTTTGAAGAATTTTTTCTTTGTATAATTTTAAATTGTTTTTAAATTTTAGCTGGTGCATTTGTATTTCTGTGAAGCGCTGTGAACGTCAATGTTGACGGATCTGGCGCTGTACAAGAATTAGTTATTATTATCTTTATTTAAAATGTGACCCAAAAGCAATAAGCATGTTCAACTTATCAAACGGCACAGTCAACGTGTACCAAAATTACAATTTTCATCCACCTCAGTAGTTTAAGAATGGTGTCATGTGTACCACGACTCTTCTTCTCAAAACCATCAGCTGTACTCAATAAATCAAGTTGACAGACCCCCCCCCCCCAGAAAACCCCCAAAACAACAAACAGAGAATTACTCACATTGAGGGAGAGGTGCTTTGTAAAGTTGACGGACCGTCCTTTGTAAAAAGCCGCTGATATATCATCCGAGGCAATCACAGCGCAAAAGGGACGGTGATTCCTGCAGTCTACGGCGTTGCAGTGTTGACCGCTGTGGTCCAGCGTACTGACGGCACTACCGTCCCAACGAACTAATTTAGAGGTCCTGGGTAAGGCCGGGAAAAAACACTTTGATTTAGTGCAGCTTTGCACTGGTTAAGCCCCAGTCACACATTTACGGTTTGGTTGGAGCTACAAATATCCACGGTTTAACCAGTAATCAATTGATCACGATGAACCGTTGAGATTCGTGGAAAAATCAACTTTCTAAGAACGCGCTCAGGTTTCAGGATAGATAGCCTCGACTATCCTACGGTACGTTGCTCTACGAATACACCACGGTTTGTCAAGAACATAGACGGATTGTTGAAGAATATCGACGGTTTTACTTTAAAGAATCATGACGTTTACGCTACGATTTTTTTTTTGCGATTGGGCCACGGATGACCAAGGTTCTGCAGTAGTAAGGGAGGCGGGGGTGCTGGACTTTGTCATAGGTCTGTGGGTAGTACAGGGCCATTAATGAGAAGTCAGGGTACCAGACTTTGTCATAGGTCTGTGGGTAGTACAGGGTCAATGGGAAATCCCCCGATCTCAAGAAAAAAAAAAATAAAAAAAATAAATCTAACGGAGAGAGAGTGAGAGAGAAAAATCTGTCGTCGCTAAAATGAGGGGAGTCTAATTATTTATAAATCTAAAAGTCTAACCTCAAAAAAAAATGAAGAAAAAATATTATATTTCCTATAATAAAATGGAGAGTAATATGTTTAGACCGACCGTCAAAGGATATTCTAAATGGAACAAAGCCACGCTGCGTGATTACGTACAGCGGTATAATATACCGCACAATGAAAATGTTTCTCTTACTCGTAAAGTTTACATCGAGGGGATAAAACATTATGAAAGTAAATTTAAAAACTTGAGGAAAAAGACACTACATGAGCTCAAACAGATTGTAGACGAACACAATCTAGAATACGTACCGACGGGTTATAAAGGACGAGTTTTGAAAAAAGATTTAATCTCGGCGATTAAAACATACAGACAACCCGAATACTTTACAGAGTCAGCTTTTAGAGAAACGAGAAGGTTTAGAAATTACTACAGAAACTGGGAATTAAACCCCAGACTTTATAACCACGATTTAATCAAGTTTTTTGATTCGCACAAGGAACAAATAGTCAATAAAATCAAGTCTGAATTGAGAGAGCTGAGAGGTTTAAAAATGGAGCTCACAATCAAAATAAAATACGAAAAAACCAAACCGGATGGTACGATCGAAACGATCGAAGCTATTCATTATAGCAAGCAAAAAGCCGTTTTAAATCAAAGTCAAATAAAACAGGCTTTAAAAGAAGAGATCGAAGAGCTATTCAAAAAGGATGAAAGGTATACGAATCAAGGATCGGGTTGGGTTTTAAAAAAGATAATGGCGTTATACATCAACATCAACAGATATAATCCAGCGAGAGGTAGTTCCTACAAAGACCTACCCGAATATCTTAAAATTAAGAAGGCGATGATCAACATCAAAAACAAAGACGATGAGTGTTTGAGATGGTGTTTGAGAGCTGCTCTTGAGTTGTATACGGATAAAGTAAAAAATCAAATAAGAAATAATCCTAATTATAAAATTCATAAAGAAGAACCTGTTGTATACACCAAAGACGACGGACTCAGTTTTAAAGGCGTTGACTTTCCGACACCGGTCGATCAGATACCCAAGATAGAAAGACAAAATAATTTATCGATAAACGTATATGGTTATGAGGGTGAGATATATCCATTATACGTGTCTAAAAACTACAAGGGGAAAGAGATCGATCTGCTTTTGATTTCTAAAGGTGACAAGCATCACTATTGTTGGATAAAAGATTTTACGAGGTTGATATACGACGTTACGAAACATAAATGTAAGAAATATTTTTGTCGAAGATGTCTTTGTCATTTTACCAATCAAAACAAATTAGACAAACATATCGCCGATTGTAAGGGTATAGATACACATCCATCAAAGATTGTATTTCCTCTGGGTAAACCAAAATACATAGACGGGCAGCCAAGTGAAGAGAGAGACGTACCGATATTAGAATTTAAAAACTATAGGCACAAACAAAAAGCACCATTTGTCATTTATGCCGACTTTGAATCCATATTACAAACAACAACATCCACAGATAAAGAGACAAACACAAAAAAGATTAACGTTCACAAAGCTAGCGGTTATTCGCTAGTTGTCGTCCGATGTGACGGTAAAAATGTATATCAAGAGACTTATAGAGGTAAAGACTCTTCAACTAGATTTATAACGACGTTGTTACAATTACAAAGCGATATTAATTGTCTATTTGAAACTATTTGTCTATTTGAAACCCATGAAATTTAACGAGCGAGCTAAAGACCATCACGATAAAACAAACACGTGTTGGATTTGCGAAAAACCAATTTATACCAATTATTCGAGCAACTGTCAGTGCCAGAACCCCAGAGAACCCAAAACGATAAAACAAAAGAAAGAATATCAGTACAAAAATAGTAAGGGATTTATTGAGTCTAAATGTCTCGACTGTAACAAGAACATTAATAAATTTAGAAAGGTGAGAGATCACTGCCACGTCACTGGTAAATATAGGGGTGCTGCACACGCTTATTGTAACCTCAAACTACAAATTAAACCCGGTTGTACACCAATACCAGTCTTTTTTCACAATTTACAAAATTACGACGCGCATTTAATCATGCAGGGAATGACAGAATACGATAGCCAAACAGAAATACAAGTGATCGCTAAAAATTCAGAAAAGTATATTTCGTTTTCGATAGGAAATCTACGATTTTTAGACTCGTTTAGTTTTATGAGATCGTCGTTGGATAAATTAGTGAAAGCTTGTCCAAAAGAGTCGTTTCAGCTACTCAAAAAGCATTTTAAACATCCTGACTTGCTATTACAAAAAGGAATTTATCCCTACGAATATATGAACTCGTTTGACAAGTTTCAAGAGACCAGCCTACCACCCATCGGCAAGTTTTACAGCAGACTAAAAGACGAACATATATCGCAACAAGACTACGACAGAGCTCAACGCGTGTGGAATGAGTTTAATATACACAATCTAGGAGAATATCACGATTTATACGTGACCACCGATACGTTATTACTGGCAGGCGTATTTGAAAACTTTAGAAGAACGTGTATTACAAACTACGGGCTAGATCCAGCCAATTATTTTACCGCACCCGGATTGTCGTGGGATGCTCTATTAAAACACTCGGAAGTTAAACTCGAACTATTGCAAGACGTAGACAAACATTTATTTTTTGAAAAAGCAAAACGAGGAGGCATATCTAGCGTGGGTGGAATGAGACATCACAAAGCCAATAATCAATATCTCGATGACTACGATTCATACAAACCCTCGAGTTATATCGCTTATCTGGATGCCAACAATCTGTACGGTTGGGCTATGAGTCAATATCTACCGTACAGCGATTTTAAATGGACACCCTCGAAACCGTTTACCGAAGAAAGAATATTAACGCTGAAGAAAACGTCAAACACCGGTTATTGCTTTGAAGTAGACCTCGATTACCCGAACGATCTACACACCAAGCATAACGATTTTCCCCTAGCACCAGAAAACATCATCATACCCCAAGAGTGGATGTCTGATTATCAAAACGAATTATTAGATACCGAACCTAGTAGCGACGTACAAAAATTAACGTGTACCCTCAATCCAAAACAAAAATACGTGTTGCACTACGTCACGTTACAATTGTATCTCAAACTTGGTTTGAAACTAAAAAAGGTACATCGCGTGTTAAAATTTAAACAAGCGCCTTGGATGAAATCTTACATCGACAAAAACACACAACTCCGAACCAAAGCGACCTCTGATTTTGAAAAAGACTTTTTTAAACTGATGAATAACAGCGTGTTTGGTAAGACGATGGAAAACGTTAGAAACCGAATAGATGGTTACCTACTGAGAGATAATAACGAGAGCGATCAAGAAAAATACAAAAAAATAATTCAAAAACCGAGCTATAAAACAACAACGCCGTTTCCAGAATGTGACCTGTCGTTTGTCGAAACGTACAAGACTAAAACCTTGTTAAACAAACCAATCTACTGCGGAGTGAGTATCTTAGATCTCTCAAAGACGCTGATGTACGATTTTTATTACAATCGATTGAAAGACAAGTACGGAGATCAAATCAGGTTGATGTATACTGATACGGACAGTCTGTTGATTGTCGTTTACACGGATGACATATACGAAGACATACAATCTCACGGGCAACACTACGACTTTTCAAATTACCCAACAGATCATCCTTTGTACGATCCAACCAATAAGAAAGTGATCGGTAAATTTAAAGACGAGTTTGGAGGTAAGGTCATTCAAGAAGCAGTTTGCATAAGACCTAAGATGTACTCGATTTTAGCGGATGACAACAACATCACTCTTAAAAAAGCCAAGGGGGTCACAAAATCGGTCACTGACAAAAAATTAAAACACCGGCACTACTACGACTGCATCTTTAAAAATAAATCTAAAACAGAAACGATGACTCACATTAGGTCGGAAAATCACATCCTTTACACCATATCTCAAAATAAACTATCGTTGAGTCCGTTGGATACCAAGAGGTACATTTTACCGGATGGAATACACACGCTCGCTTATGGTCACCGTAATCTAGATCTTAATTAGGCGGTAATTGCGTGTCCTCGGGTACGACTTGAAGCTCTTGTCTCACAAAACTCCTTTTTGGACCGTTTTGAAGGTAATAAAGAGTAGGACCCGTCGTGACTTTTTTACCGTTAATCATTTTAAATTGACTCGTTCTTTTTTCCACGTTAAAAATGTCTACGCTCCAAATGGGATCCGTGGCTCTTCTCGAGGTTCCACCCTCTTGCTCACCCGGGTAATATAAATATCTAACCATTGCGTCTTGCGGTAATTGTTGCTCTTTTGTTTTAACGGGGTTAGCCGGTGATTGCCGGACCTGTTCTAGTTTAACCGCCTCTGACGGTGCTTTAGCTATTAATCTCGTCGTTTCATCGTTTATAGCTTTGATCACGCTGGGTAATCGCTCGAC